GCCAGCAGGGCTTGGGGGCCGTGCACCGCCCTCTGATGGGGGAGCCCGAGCCCGAGCCCGCAGAGATTCGGAACGCTTCCCGAGGGGCGCTCGGGTCCGGTCTGGCAGTGCTCCCCCGTGCTCAGCCCCGAAACACGATCTGCCGTGGGAAGCGTGAGGTTTGCCCTGCTGCAGTCGTGGGGAGAGCCCCCCGTAACCACAGCAGAGTCCTCGGGCACCTCTCCTTTCCCTGAATCGATGTGTGCAGCTCCTGTCACCACCAGCCATAGATCCTCCAGGGCTGTGCCTAGAGAACCTTGTGAATCTGGGTACGTTTTCCCAGGTGATGAACTAGGGAATCACCTAGGAACATGGTCCAGCCAGCACCAGGACTTTGACATCATCTTTGCGGTGTGTACCCGCAGGCCTTGCCTGTGTGACTGAGTGTGGACCCAAGCTGCAGGGCCTTCACTGATGGCAAATGTCTCTAGAAAGCTTTTCATCACTGCAGAACTCACATTCAGGCTTTGGAGTTAGCTGGTACCCTGGCAGCACTACAAGCCTACCTGGTACCCTGGATGAGGAACTTGGCAAGTGGACATCAATGGCCAAGATCAAAGGGCAAAGGAGATCTCCTTGGCCAGGTCAGTCACTGAGCCAACACCACTCTGGTCCTGCCTGAAGAGAGCCTGAGAGAGCAGGCTCACCTCCATGCTTCAGCCCCACTGGTCAGTGGGGAGCAGTGGTAGCGCTGAGCTGAGCCACTGGGTATGGCAAGACTGTGAGACTGGGTGTCCTCCACACGTGAGCTGCTGCAGTTCAGGTGTCTCCACTTTGATTCTGTGGTGGTGTGGCAGGAGCCTGCCAATTCCCTCAGAGGGGAAGGAAAAGTAAGCCCTTGACTAGAGCAGTCTCACCAAATCCTCTGAGGGAGTTGAATTCAGAGAATTTCAGAAGCAATCAGCAGCCCCAGGAGTGATCTCCATGCCTTGCTGCCAGGTCCCAGGCTGGGACAACCCAGTATACTGAGGCAGCCAAGCACAGACAGGACTGTGAGAAGCATCGCGCATGGATGGAGCATAGAAAACAACCCAGCTGTGGACACAAATCGTGGCTGCCCTGCCTATGGGAATTTAGATGACTTCAGAAACCGTTCAGGACCCTCTCAGCATGTGCTCACATCTTCACCGTGGAAAAGCACAAAACAGGTCAGGTGCTGATGCACAAATGGTGCCCAGTGCTTCCTTTCACACACACCGTGCTCCAGCCCTGATTGAGCTGTAGAAGACTGCATGCAGGACTGACAGGGGGGACAAAGACATCTTTGAGGTTATTGGTGGGAAACATTTCTGCTGCCTGCACTGTAGGTATCTATCTAGTTATCCACAAGTGCCACTCCTCAGAGGTGTTTCAGGTGCTGACACAGTGAATGGTTTTGCTGCCCACTCGCCTCTGCAGTCTAAGACAGGGTGGCTGGGACTCGTGTCTCTATTGGGGTGTCCTTAGTGACTGGAGTGAGCACCACTCTCTGCCTTCTTTCCTGGGACATCTCTTCCCAGGCTGGGCAAACTAATGAGAAGTGGGAAGCTACCACTGCGGGCAACAGTTAGCTATGGAGGGGAGCCTGACAGCAGCACAGCCAAGCACCACCATCGTCCCACATGAAACCACATACAACACTGCAACCTGCAGCAAGCCACTGGGAAGAGCAGAGCCGGCACTTGCAGTGGCTGCTCTGTGCTGCAGGAGCCACATTCCTGGTATCTGTGCAGCTACAGACAAAGCACCTCTCACCTGGCTGGGGGTGGTTCCCAAGGAGCCAGGTACTGCGTTGCAGAGAGCAGCTGCAGAAGGGAGTGAGATGAGACAGAAGCTTTCTGCTTGGTGATAAGCCTTGTGACCCTGTGAAGGGTTTGCAGAGACAATATCCTTGAGACAAAGGGGCACAAAATCACAAAATGGAATACAGAAACCTTTAGAATTAGTTTTAAGTAATGTTAAGTTTCATGGCTTTGTAACAGTAGCAATGGAAAATTACTGAGGTTCATGATACATAGAGAAAAATATAGAGTACAGCTAGAGAACATACTGAGAATTCTCATAAGATAAATCATTATAGTTGGCATAGTTTAAGAAAAACAGTCTAGAAGAACAGGACACAGGGATAAGGAGTATCTGGGAACCACAGGTGTCCAGGGTGGGCTACAGTTAAACTAACTGATAAGTAGGAGGATGGGAGGATTTTTATGTCTGTGGTGCTAACGAACCAATTAAACTGGTAAGAGCATCTACTGCGTGTGCTTCAAAGGCTGCCAGAAGTGATGAAGATTGTTGGAAGAAGTAAACGACCCTCAGAGACCACCACCACAATTCTGTACGCATGTGGGGAACTCTGGAAAATGATGTAATCCATATGTAGCCTCATGAATATGTATGTATGCCCAGGGACTATATAAGGATGGCTTGTATAGCAATACGGGGACACACGTTAGGAGGAGCTATCCCCCGTCTCCCGGTGCCACAGTAAAGAATACCTGCTTGTCAGCTTGAAAACTTTGTTGGCAAGTTTGTGCCTGGAGTTTTCTCTGAATTAGATTTAGTTCAGGGATATGTTACATCAGTGCACAGCACTTAACACCTGCACTGAAGAGTGCTGCAGCAGGCACTGTACTCTGCTTCATCCCAACCCACAGAAGACAAGGGCCTGACATGCCCATAGCAGGTTTGGATGGAGCCTCACGGAGGAAGCTGCTAATTAATTATACCCAATTAGCACCATATATAACACCTCCCCTGCTGTCATTATTTCCAGCTCTGTGCAGTGACTGTGCCCATGTTTAAGGGGCAGGTAGCACAAAGGGGATAAGCTGGAAACTGAGCCATGCCAAACCCATCAGCTTGGGGGTTGATTTAAAATACCCTCGTGATGGCAGTGCCAGAACTGGCAGTCCTGTTAGTCTTGTAGCATTGGCATTCCCTGTCTCCCCCCCAACCCCTCTCCCCAGTGTGCAAGAGCTTTTGTCACATTGAAAAATGTTAAATTATTGAAAGATGAAGCACAAAATACCAGTTGGCTTTAATTTCCTTTTGGAACTTTTCCTACCTGCAAAATGCTGCCATAACCAATGCTTTTGTACGTAATAAAATGGTGTTATAAAAGGAAAAAATAAAGGTATTTTTAGCAGGGGGCTGTGATGTTGGGCTGAGTGCTATTTTTTCCCAAGGCACCTTGAAATATATTTTTTCTTACCTTGAATGCTGCCTTAAGCACTGAAGCTTTCTACCAGCTTGATACCAGAACATGCCAAAGAGGTTCTGTATTGTGAAAATTATGCTTAAAAGCAGAGCAGGTACTGATGGACCAGCCAGAATCCCAAACCCAGGCTTCACACTTTGCAGGAAGCCACCAGTTCAGAAGAAATGAGGACTCTGTCTCAATGCAAGTGGACCATGTGCCTAAATCAAGTGTCTGGCTGCAGCAGCACAGGGGACCCCTCACCCCACATGTGCTCGCCATGGTTAGTGGTATCTCCTCTTCCGCACATCCTGGTCTGCTGTTTCCCAGGGCTGAGCAGGAAGCACACACGGATATTCTCATGATTTAGCTCAGCCCACAGCCCCTCACTGAGCTCCAGGAACTACCCTGGAGGGCACTAAATTATGTCAGCTCCACCATTGTGGTGCTGGCATGGGAAAGTGGTTTGTCCTTTTGCACCTGGCCTGTCCCAAGGCCAGGCAGAGCTAACGCTCTGTAGAGGAGCTCTTAGCACTGAGAAACATCTGGAGAAATCCTAGCTTTGGCTCAGGCCACCAAAGTGACCTCTTAAATGGGAAGAGTATCAGCAATGGTCTTGCATCTGATGGGGCAGGTGGCAGCCTGCAAGCTGGGGGAGAAACTCAGCACTGTGGCCTATCTCCCATCACAGGGTGTTGCTGCTTTCTGCTCATGTGCATGCCTTATCCCCTATCTCCCTCCTTTACCATGGATGAGAAGCCTGTGGTTGGGATAAAACATTAACTCACACAGAAACAACCTCACTAGCAATGCTTCTTTCAAGGGCAGCATGCCAGCATACAGCATTGGATTGAGTGTCTTTGCTGTGCACTAGCACTTTTGCATGCAAGGGTCTTCAGCATGTAAAGATTCAAGATCCTTCCAGGCCAGTATCACCCAGAGCCAAAAAAGGGTGAGGAAGGGAGGCCTCCCAGATTCCACCTGTTTGCAGCACAGGGATTTACTGAGCCAGCAGTGGCTTTTTGTGTGTTTGGCCACCCTCCACCAGCCTGTGCTCTCAAAACCATATAAACTCTTGGTGGCCCCAAAAGCCTGCAACAAGGCAGTCTATAGTTGCACATGGGGAGTAGGGAGGGAATCAGAAACATAATTTTTAGGGTTGCAGCTGGTATCCAGAGGTTTTGATTAAGGCAGAGACTTAATCTACAAATTAAGGCTTAATCTACAAATAATGTCATGCATACAGCAAAGCTCAGCAAAGGCTGACTGGGGTGGAAAGGCACCCACTTTGCACACAGGCACAAGCACAGGCAGAGGGAGCTACTGGGTTGTGCAACCATGTTAAACTGTCTGCCAACCACAGAAATCATCCTTGTGCAATTTATACAGCGGCAACCTCAGTTTAGAGCACCTCTGGCACTGATACTCACTGCAGCTCTTGCGGAGGCTCAAGGGACTTGTGCAGGGCTAAGCTAACCTCTGGGACCAGCTGGCATGTTGTGACATGAGTTCAGTGCTTTTCAGTAGCCCTAAAGTTTGTGGAACAGAAAGGGAGGAAGGCCAATGAGGAATGCCAGCTTGGCTCCAATGTGCAGGTCTGCACAGGCCTGACAGATATTCCTGCATCCATCACATTTCAGTAAGGAACAAGCACAAGTGACTTGCTGGCAGAATGACCAGAGGAAATGGCCCTTAGCAAACACACATGTGGAGCAAAACCAAGAGCTGGCGAACACACAACAGGAAGATAAACTTCCAACAACACTGAGATGTCTTTCCCTTCCAATTTCAATTCTGTCTTCTTCAGAAAAATTTATTTTTTAATGGGTCATTATATATCACACAGACCAATATCTTTTTATATACTGTAGACATACATCAGCCTGTGAGCTGGTCTAATAATATGTTTTCAAATTCTTTTCTTAAAAAACAGTGTCAGGTAGAAAAGATTTCTGACCTACTGCAAAAGGCTTGAGGAAAAATACAGTAGTTAAATATATTTCTAATTTCCACAGTCTTGATTTGAAAGATAATGCCTTCCAATAGTCCGTAACAGTAGCAAAGATCTGTATTTGTGTGCACCCATGCACATAACAGTATGAGTAAATTAGATCAGCAATATCATCTGTAAAGAAATACCTTCTGCCTTTTGAGCTTCTCTAGGTAGGTGCATCATTTTAAAACCAGTGCTTTCTTATTAGAGATACTGTGGTAAGACCCCAGTACCATTTTCTTCTTGTCCCACACTTCCAATGTGTGCAGCTGTCAGTGACATACAGGGGATCTACCTCACTCTTGCCCATCCAACTACTCTTCCTAAAATCTAATACCCACTTTGATTACTTTCATGCTGTGTGGTTGGCCTCCACAGCTCTGTCCCAACTCAGACTTCTATAATGCTTTGAAACTGTCTGATTTGTGCAGGTGTGCCCAAGCGGACCACGTGTCTCAGGTGAACAGAGACTGGTGCTGTTTCCACTACAGTCTGTGATCCTGCCTATGGCCCACCTGGCTGAGAACAGTATGGGCTATGAGTATTTCCTTTTGCTTCCTCTGCAAGCACTGATGGCTTCATACCACAAGAGGTTTGAAAGAGGCATCATCCACTGAATGGGCTTCAGTTCAAGGTCAGTCTGAAAACACAGAGCAAAGCTTGCCTTACAGCAGAGTCTGCTGGATGCTGAAAATGACAGGACTGCTGGCACACCTAGAATAAAGCACTGCTCAGCAGGAAAGCAGGGCAGTTCTAGCACTGTGTTAGGGAAAAGTTGTGTTTATCTAAAGCACTTGACCTATCCTGGATCTGTGATGGATTGAGCTGCACGGTCCAGGTGATGGCTGATCCTGGGAGGCAGGGGAGAATCAGACCCCATTCCCAGAGGTAGGCAGGGCATCTCCATGTGCCAGACCCATAAGGCCAGCTCCTTGGTTCAGGGGAAATTAATGTTTTTTCTAAAGAATTATCAAGCAAGCCATCTTCTCTGACCTAGTCCAAGTGGTTTGTAGGTTCACCAGCAGAGGGCCATATTCCATATTCCTTCAATACTGGAAACTCCTACAGAAATTATCTCCTCCTTCCCATTATGAATGGGAGTCACAGGAAAGTCAACACAGAAACCTGGCACAGGAAGAGCAAAACCGTGAGGCAGAGGAAGATGGACAAACACTCATCCTGGTCAAGTGTGAAGTGATCAGAAAACCCAGGCGTCCACAGCAGTCAACTTCTCCGTAACATTAAGTAAGCCCTGCCAGCAGCCAGGCTGTGGTTGATTTCACTCTGAGGTGAAAGATTTTTCGTGGAGCAAACCCACCTCTGGAAGACACAGTGCTGCCAGGGTCAGGCCAACCCATAGATGGCTCTACTCAGAGCTAAACAAAGAGGAAAGATAACTCCCAGCATTTCCTAGCCAGGCAGGAAGACACACTTTATGCTCCCATTGACTTCTAGAGGAAACAAAATAAACTAGATTCAAGTGCACTCTCCCACAACACATTTCAACTGTCCCAGCCCAAGACCCATGGGAAGATGCCCTCAAGGTCCCAGAGCTTTCTTGGGCCCAGCACTCATCAAGAGACTCAGGAACTGCAACGTTCAACACAACGCTCTCCTGGCAGGCTATCCACTGAAGGCACCATGCCTTCATAGAGCAGGTTTTCTTCCTCACCAATTCAGCAGCTTCAGGTACCAATGAGGGAGTGCTCTCAGTTCATTATTTCTGCTAACTTTACTTGTATATAAGGATATCTTTCAAGCCTCCCTCAGAAAAGGCAGAAAACTCCTGTCTGGCTGGTTCTTTGGTATCATCTCAACTTCTGTCATGGTAGCACAACTGGTATTTCCTATGGACCATCAGCTATAATCCTGAACTGCACAAGACAGGGTAGGTTGAATGAGGAAAAGTTCCAAAGAGAGTAAAATGCCTTTGACACCTTCCAGTCCATTACAAAGCTCGGTCCTATATGGTCCCCCAAATGTTCCTATATGCTTACAGCCTTGCTTCCTGAGACAGATGAACTCCTGCTGTGACCACCTTTCCCCCTCTGCTCCATCTCTTACAGACAGTTGCTACCGAAGACTGCAAAGTGAGAGGGAAGTGATAAGGAACTCTTTTTGTTAAATCTCTTCTTCCTCTTCACTAGCAACCTCCTTCAGGTCCTGAGGTCCCTGCTCTGCTCTCTCTTTTACATAGGCTGCCTTGATCTGTTCCAGTTCACACAGTTCTGCCTCCAGCTCTTCCCTGTGCATCGACCGGCGGTTCTTCAGCAGTTTCATCGGGAAGGGATTTAAGTCATTGAAAGCAATGTTCATCAGCTTCCTACAAGGGAAAAGACAGGCCTGGTGAACCAATTTACTGATTGGTAACAGATATGCCAAGTGTATCCCGGGGAAGGCAAAGCACAGAGCCTCAGATTTCATCTCTCTGAGCTCAAAAGTCACCGAGCAATGAAGTCTTAAAGGAACCACAGGCAACTCCCCACACAAATACCAACCCAAACAAAACTTTAAACAGCCTCGCACTACACCATCTTTTAAGGTACCAGTGTGCAACCACCAGACAGTATATGGGGGATCAGATGCCAATTCTGATGGCCCCTAGGGGAAGAATATTCCCAACACCAAGCTCTTCTCATCACAGAAATCTTCCTCTCAGACACACATTGCCATGAAAGGTTGTGAGTGCTGCTGTGCTCCCAAATATCCCAACTACAGCTGAGAGAAACCCATCAAGTGGCAGCACAAGTTCCAGCTTCTGCAAAAAAGAAGCTGGCCCAGACTCAGGGGCCTGCTCTGCTTTAGTTGCCTTTGCCTGAGCCAAAAAGAGTTTAAGTAACACCAAGAAGTGGAAGTCAAAGAAAGACAAACTCATACATGTCCTGTGGACCTGCCAATGCACATACACCTCTCTTAAAAGACAGGTCAGGGCTCCATTTAGGCTGACCTAACAGGCAAGCAAGTCCAAACCCAGGATGGAAGCTTATCTACATCCCACGGTCCTACCTGCCATCCATGATCATTCTTGTGAAGAAGCGTAGGTACTGGTAGATCTCCACACTGTCATGAATTCTCAGGATTTCCTCCTCATTGTATTTAAAAATCGCAAGAGCATAGCGGAAAATCACCTGGAGGGTTGAAAGGTATTTGAGTTGTCAATCTTAGGCAGTTGAAGACCAGGCTCTCCTTGTATAAAACTTGGGGTGGGGTACATATTACTGCAGTATAGGCTGGACACTGGGCTTCTCCCAACAGGCTACGTTAGGGCAGGCCTAAAGAAGCACAAAGCCAATCCCAAGGGAACGGCCCTCTGTAATTTACAACCCCAGAGCATACCAGATCCTCCAAAAGGATAGGACACCACAGGGATTCCACAAGGATCCTCCAGTTCTCACTAGGCACAGGGGCAATGCTAGACTCCTTCAGGTCCTAAAGGTACTGCCCATCTTCTTTTTCCTTTATCTGTCATACTCTCAGCTTTGTCCAGGTCACAGACCAGAAGACACCATGGCCCGTCAGAGAGCTGTTTCATGGCAGGACTACCTGCTCAAAAGTGCCAGGGATCCTAGGCACAGCATCACAGACTAGCTCTGCCTACCAGAAGCAAGTGAACAGACAACACAGAGGCTGGGAGGCTTCAAGGCATTTCACCAAACAGGCAGCATAGAACAAAAGATTCAGCCCTCCATCTCTTTGAAACGTGTATGTCCATTGCCCTGCCATCATGTCACAGAGGTGGTGCAGATGGGAGGTAGACCTAGACTGAGAGTTTCACCTTAGTTCCCTCATACAAGAAGGCATCCCACACTCGCAGAAGGATGTCGCTGACCAGGCTGTCCACAAAGGCCACAAGAAACCAATTGAAAGTGATGAGTGAGACATCAATCCGATAATGCTCAAAATGAGCCATAAGGCGAGGCAGCTTCTCTGACAGGAAGTCTCTGAAGACTCTCTGATCTACCTAAAGTTGACAAAAAAAGAAAGCATGTCACAAGCATCCATCTGAACTACAGGGTTTCTCATAGAACAACATTTTACATCAAATGGCCAGAGCGCTTTCTCATCTGCAGGCAACCCCAAAGTCACAACTAATGCTGTATTTGATCATGTACTGAGGCAAGTACAACGAATATAAAAATCTTCTCCTATTCGCGCATGGCACTCCAAAGATAGGGTGCAGGTTCCAAAGAAACATCTGAAGAGCTGCAGAATGGGGCTTTCTTCATGCTCAGTTCATACTTAGGCCCTTGTTAAAATAAGCAAGTGTGTAATTAATAGGCACCTTCCTTCTGACTAACCTCATCTTCATGTAATTACTCAGGAGTGGTGCCCAGTTTCCTAGTGCTTAGGGATCAATTTTGCTGCTCCTGTGTGTGTAAAAACTTTGTACTCTCAAGTTTACAACACCTCTGCAATGAAAGGGATTGCAAGGTGGGTTTACTTTCCCGTGGAGAAATCAAACACAATGGAAGTTGACTGCTAGCTTTTAAACCTTTACTGTAAATCACCATGTCACAGACCAAGAAGATGTGAGCGTGCCCAGCTCACCTGTGATGTTATCAGTGTGTCACTGTAGTAGTCTGCTGGCATTAGGTTCTCCACAATATGGACTAGGCACCAGAAGGCACTTTCCTCATCTTCCAGGACCAGTAGGGCAACAGCTGCCAACCTGTGATGGACAAGACATGGTGAGGCACAACAACACCACCAGCACAGGAACTGCAGAATGCAAGACTCCTCTTGGTATGTCTTTAGTTCTATGAGTGTCCAAAACATCAAACATGGCAGGACTGCTGGTCAGAGAAGCAAGCGAACTGTTCTGCAGGCTTCTGAAGGAACCATGGGGCTATGGTTTTCTTTCTCATATGCTTCTGTCGGCAAACAGGGAGCATCAAATACAGAACTGATGTGACAAAGACAGACTTGCCAGCTAATGGGATGTTCTGCAGATCTCCTGAAGTTACCAGCGTGCTCATTTTGGCTATTTCCATACAGGAAAGAGGTCTCTCAGAGATACTCCGTATTATGGATACATTAATACTACGCGACACACTCCATGTTAAGTGACACAGCTCACTTTCCCATACATTCTTCTAAACCCCTTACCCTCTTCAGCTGCAGCCTTCTTTAAGAAATGAAACTTGAAGATTCCCTGAACCTTCCCTTGTCCAGACAGAACAATCCGTTTCCTCAGCCTCTCCCCATGTCATTTTCTACAACTCCCTCATCTCTAACTTCCCAACATTTCCTCCAACTCTTCTCAGCAATAGGAATCACCAGGGTGATTAAGAGCTAGAAACTCAGCCTCAGCCTCATGCTGTTATACTGGGACTGCCTCACTCAACCTCCTATGGCTGCTCCTTCCTATTCTGTAACTATGGAGACGCCGAACAAGTGCATCCTGCTGATTCCTTAATTCCGGCAACAACACTGGATGAAAAAAACCACACCAAATGCAGAACTCTGCAGCCAGGACAGAACTCTGCAGAGGCAGGAGCCTGGGATTGCTTGAATCACACCCTGGAGTACATGTTTACACCTTCTCAGTGAAGAAGCAGCATACCTGGCTCCTCACCTATTCAGTCCCTGGCAGTATCCAATGGCAGGATTGTGCCAGGAGAATGCCAGCAACACCCTCCGGAGCTTGGGGATGAGCTGGGAGGTGGGAGAGGAAAAATGTTTGTTGTTAGTCAGTGTGCGGGGCAGATCAAGCTCAATCTGCCGACAGGCAGGGTGCTCAGTGCTCTTGCTCTGCCGCAGCAGCCGCTGGTAGTGGTCAGGCTGACGGCCGCAGTGCCGGCTGACAATCCACCTCCAGACCCGCTGGCGATGCTCCACTGGAATGCCGCTTCGGATCAGGTTCTTCAGCTCTGCAGAGGGGCTTAGCTCTCCAATGCTGTTCCACCTGTCACGGAGGGGCTTCTCTACTACTTCCTGGCTCCGCAGGTTGTTGGACTTTATCTCCAGGGCTTGGATTTTGGCCAGAAGTTTCCAGTCCTCAACTTCATATTCAGGTACAGTCATAAACCCGTACTCATCGTACTCACTGGAGGGACACAAGTCAGAGATTAGTTCAAAGGACAGTGCTGGTACCTGCATCAAGGACCACTTACTGCTTGGGTCCATACCAGCTTCAGCCTGCTGACAGGTTCCTGTCACCCATGCTGGAGCAGAGGTGTTCCTTCACTTCTATGACAGCCACATACGACAGCCTGCCATGCCTACTGTCTCAGAGCCCTGAAGGCAAATGAGAGCCTGCAGCAACAGCATACACACACAGACTTATGTAACTTTGGTCCAAGCTACAGCCCAATCTCATCAGACCTCTCTCACCTCACCTGCTCCCCTGCCCCTAACAGATTATCTAGCTTTACCTGTGAACCTCCTCCTTACTACATTCAAGTGCAGACAGTTCTGTAGGAAAGGACTGCAAAGGCTTTGGAGCATGAGAGTAAAGAAGAGAGATCCACTGTCCCTTCTGATGTCTCCCTCTACACAATGCAAATCTCCTACTGACTGAAAAACACCAGGAGTGCTGAAAGTACAGATCATTGAGGGTGATCACCATCACTCCACAGGCTGGGATACTCATAAGACAGCATTATATTCTTGAACAGAGAGCAAGCCTGGCCTTGGTGATCCCATCTCCAAAATTACGTGGACAACCTGTGAGTCTGACCAGTCAGATTACATGGAAACTGCTACAGAACTGGGGTGCTAATTGAACAGGAAAGCATGAACACAAATGCAAGGACCACCACAGCACTGGTGGCATGGCTCTCTGGAGGTCTCCAGTCCAGTCCCACATCACTGCAGGATTCTCCCCAGAACCAAACGGGGTGATAGCAGCTTTGTACAGGTGGAACTGAAAAACCCTACAAGATGGAGATCCCCCACTTCCCAGATGGCCTCCTCTCCTACAGAAGAAGATTACCCTCATGTACAGGCATGCCATTGCTGTTATTACTTGCTATACTGTCTTCCACTGCCAAGAAAAGTTTAGCTGTATCATTTTTAACTTTTCCTTCCTACAGTGATGTGCTTCCATCAGACATTTTTGTGGTCTCCACACCACCAAATCAAACCAGCCTCCTCAGCCTGCACTCCTTGGTCATGGCTCCAAGTCCCTCCTACAGAAATGTCCCCAGCTCTTACTTGCCTGTACACTCCCCTCCACAGCCTCCTACAAGGGGGTGAATATTGCCATGCTCTTACCCCTCACCTTACAGGGTTCAGGTTAAAACCTTCTGCTTTTTCCTTCACATCCCACTGGAGTGCTTCCTGGATGAGGCTCCTCACCAACTCAGCATGGGAGCTGGGCAGGCCAGGCACAGCCTCCTGCAGCTTCCGCAACACTGTCAGGTACTTGCTCTCCATCTGGCAGTTTTGTGCTTGCAGGCAGGCACACTGATGGGGAAAAAAAAGAGCAAATGCGCTGGCTCATTCATAGTTCTTCCTGCATTGCCACTGTTCTCTATTGGTCTCCTCTGCATATAAAGTGAAGACTCCTGAACAGCAAAGCTGAAGGAAACACATCCAGCAGTTTTCTAGTCAGTGCAATCACAGCCATGAATGATCACCATGGTTTATGAACAAGCACAAGCTGCAGTAGCTAGCATGAGCAGATGTTGCTTATTGAGTGCAAGAGCTACTGCAGCACTCCCTGCTTTATCTAGGTGCACAGACAGCTATGGCTACCAACTGAACTGCATCAGTTGATAGCCATATCCCAGCCAGCTCAGTTCAGGACACAACCCAAAAGCCACCATGGCAGCTGAGTTCTCTGCAGTCTTTTTCCCTGCTCCTCCGACAAGTTATCTACCCCCCATTGAGCTGTACCCTGAAAAAAGAAAACATACCACTCCTGAGAGTGAGCTATGGACGTAGAATTTTCAGGATACTTGGTAGCATCATGATCAAAGTGACTACATGCCCCCCCAGCAGCCCCCGGTCCCATGGCACTGCTACACAGCCTTTCTCTAACGTAGGAAGCCCAACTGAGTTCAAATAACAGCAGAAGAGTCCCTGCCACCACCACACTCCCGGCACAAAAAGCAACGAAAGGAATGAGGACTGTTACCCCCACTCCACAAGTGGGGAACTGAGGCCACACAGGTGACAAGACTCACCCACTGTATCACAGGTAGCTCAATGAAAACTCCTGCTCAGTGGGAAGCAGCAGTTGAAAACAAAACCAAAACAGAAACAACAGAGAGAGTTAGGCTGCATATAGGGGGGACAGAAAGGAGAATGGTATACTCTTATATTACCACTTCAGTCAGCATTCTGCTTCATATTCACTATGCTGGTCTAATTACTTCCTCTCTGATGGTTATGGTGGTTTCAGGATCAGAGAATAGGACTAAGTTAGGAGGTAGGCAGGGTTTCAGAAGACAAGAAAGTAAACAGATATAAAAATGGTAGTAGTAGCAATAATAATAAAAGCAACAATAACAACTTCAGAAGCAGGTTTTTGCCCTGCTCCAGAATCCAAGACTTGGAGACATTCTGTAAAACCCAGGGAAGTAAAACACAGGTAGAATCAACAGTACAAATGACAGAATACATCACCACCCTGGCCAGCGGTTCAGAACCAGAAGGTAGGATTAGACAAGTCTCAGAGTAATCAAGCCATGCACACTTACAAGGCTAGAAATAAAAACAGAGCTTAAGAAAACATAAGAACACTGACCCAGCTGCAGGACCTGAGAGCACTGCCACCTAGTAGTGCCAAACCTGGCAGAGATATCAAGACTAGATGGAGACAGGACTCAAGACAGTCTGCCAGTTCTTAGGAAAAAATTCTGATTGCCTACACAGTATTGCTTTTTTATTTGCATCCAAAAGCATAGCCAGAATGCAGAAACCTGGGTTAAGTTTCAACATCCTTAAGACTGAGCTTTACAAGTATTTTACTGAAGAATGAACATGATCATGTCTAATTTGGGAAGAACACAAACTGGGGGGGGGGGGGGAGGGGGGGGAAAGTCACACTAAAAAACACATAGAGAAAAAAATCTTATTCCTGGTGTGTTTTGGACCAAAATCCATTACAGTGCTGGCTTTGGAAAGAAATTAGTAACAGCTCTCACCAAGGGAAAAAAGTCATTTTGCCTTACCTTCATCAGAAGGGCTTTTTCATTCTCAGCAGCATTTGTCAAGAGTTGAGTAACCTGGTGGATCTCTGAATTGAGAAACTGGTTCTGGGTTTTGTATGCTTCAATATCATCCTGCCACAAAGTGAAACAGTCACACAAGGAGAGTTCTTGAGGGACTTGGAATCTCCCCCTACTTCAGAGATTCCAGATGTGGATTATGTTAAGGACAAGAAAGCATCTCAGTAATTTTGTGTTCTGGGGAGAAGACAGGACTCCCCAAGACAAATATAGCCTACAAAGGAAGTCAAGGCACAACACTAAATCAAAATGTCATGCATTGACAAGGCAGTACTTGAAAATACTAGGTACGCTGCATGTACATGGTTAGAAAACACAGGGACATCTGGGCAATATAAAGCTAGAGAAGCACCTTAAGCAAGATAAAGAATATATGTGTTTTGTTCTATAAAAAAAACCACAACAAAAACAAACCAAACCAAACCAAAAACAAAACAAAAACAAAAACCAATCTGACACAAATCTCAGCCCCATAGCTGGCAGCAAAAATGAACACTCTCCCACAATGTGGTTAAGTGGCTCTTTTGGCAGGTCTCCACCCCCCGCCTAACTGGTCATTGTAACTGCATATAGTGACACACAATAGGCTGGATTTGAAAGAACCAGGATGTATTGGGAAATTCTTCACAAAAACGAGACAGGAGTAACAAACCTAATGAAGGCAGCGAGGCTGAAGCTGTTAAACAAAAGAAGGGCAAAGAAAGAGGCAGGCACTGAATGGTGACATGAAGTCAAACAAAACGAGCTGAGCTGAAGCTGAAACTAACCCAGATGCTTTTGAGCACACTGTTGGTATCAAGTGAACCCCTCCCAGCCTGCCACTGGTTTGGAGACAGATGAGCAACTAGCAGAAGTGTATTCTGTGCTTCCCACAAGGAACACCCTCTCACTGAACAAAAGGGCACAGAAATGGGACTTCCCAAATGACCCGTACCATCTCACACACCTTAAGGTGCTCAATCTCCTCCTGCTGCTTGTACAATGTCTCTACAGTGATAGTGTTGGCTTCTTGCAGGGGGTCAGATTGTTCTCGGGCCATCTGCTCTGTCAAGGCCATAATGACTTCCTGTTTGGCATGGTTCTTCTCCATCAGGAGCTGCACATGCTCCTTGAGTTCCTTGATATGGCTGTCTCTCAGAGTCAATATCTGCTCCAGTTCCTTCTTTTCTTGCTCAAGAGCTTCCAGTCGACTGGTAAGATCTGCGATTTGCCTCACTTTGTGGCGCACCAGCTCCAGCCTGTCCTTGTCTTCTGCTGCAGTAAGATACATGCTAGATATACGCTTCTCCTGCTGGGCTGCCTCCAGAGCTTTGTGAAGAAGTTTAACCAGTTCCTGGAAAAGGACCAGTAAGCCATCACATCACAGCGCTGCCCAGGGCAATAGCAGCACAGACCCAGTCAGTAATAAGCAAACAATGAAGGGTCCTCAGGATCTTGAAATACACTCCTTCAGAAGCAAAACTGCATGACCCAATCTTGAAATCACAGTGCCTCCTCAGAGGAGCTCCGCTCTCAGAGGTGGCCTGAAACGTCTCTGCAGGCAGGACACAGATGACTTGACTTTAGGTGAATTGCAGATGGACAAGCTGCTGCTCACACTGTCTGAATTTTGGCTTTCCTACAGTCATCATTCTTGGGAGGCCCAGCAGAGACCAGAGAGGCTGGAGATCTGGTCAGCAGTGTGGTACAACAGGAGGGAGGGAAATAATTTAGTCTACATCTATCTGTGCTACCAGAAGGAACCGTGGTATCCATTGTAACCTTCCCTCTGCCAGAGCCCTCCCTCACTCCATCCCACACAAAGGCACAAAAGCCTGCCCTGGCAACATGCTGCTCATTCAGGCTTAGCCTGAATCTCAGCCATTTAAGGAATCGAATCAAGGATGCAACTGATTGCCCAGCATGGGACCTGTCTCTTCTGCCTCTTCTGCTAGAAATGCTACCCACATCATTAGTGCAGAGCCTAGTATTGCTCCACGCTTGTGAAGAACATGACCATTCAAGAGAGAAAGCTCTTCCAGTGACCCACATGCTGACTTCTACAGTCAAATAACTTATTAATGGTGCATCACTGTTCAAAAAGAACGACTTGCTGTTAACAGCATGACTCGGCCTGACAGTTACTGCCAGTACCTATTGAGGACTGTAATTCTGCCATTCACTGACCAACAGAGATGCATGAGCAAGACACCTGCAGAGCACAGTCCGATTTGTTTCATCTCCCTTTTCCAGACCATCTGCTACCTGCACTTCCTAGCAATGGCTGAAGGACAGCCCATTCTCCCTTGTGCTGGGCAAACTCTACCACATACAAAGGGGCACCACGAGCAGCTTCAACTGGTCCCCAGTGAGTGCCAGCTGAGCACTTCTCAGCCTAACACCAAGGTGAAAAGCAGTCCCTCTGACCAGTCTCAGTGCCCTGCCCTTAGAAACAGCAGACTCTTCACCACACTCACCTTCTGTGACTTGACTTCCTCTGTGAGTGTCAGAGTCTGTTGCTGTAGGACACTCACTTTATCCATTGGGTTCCTCTCCCTGGACAGTTCTTCAGGCAAGCCTGAGAAGCCACTGTTCATCCACCTGGCTTTCCTAACCCAGTTCAGCCTGGAGTCCATTCTTTCATCCTCTAGGGTTCCTCCCTTAGCTGAAGGGAAATAAGATTAATTTACATGGAACTGGGTTGCTACTATGGACTCCTGACACTTGCTATGGGGAGACTCACAACAGCTGAGAAAAGACTGACACACAGGAAAACTGGCCTACTGGGATCCACAGGGTTGAAGCACAGACAGTAGGGAACAGCCACAGATATCCCCAGAATAAGAAAAGCTGTACTGTTTTACAGGTAACAGGTACCTGTTAACCCACCTTGCCTCCCAACAATCTATCTTGTGCACAGCAAATGCAAGTTACCATCACAGAGAAGTAAATTCCCAAGCATGTAGTCGAGCTGCTGAACTTAGCCTGTACCCATGCAGCAATTTAACATTTACCTTGAAGAAATAACAGCATGGGCTTGCACCACGGATAGTACTTTTGCCTCTGCAGAAGGTTCCAAAGGTAAGAGATAGACAGATGCAGCCTGAAGCAGAGCTAGAAGAGTCGGTCATGTACGAAGAACACAGGAAGGGACTAAGATAATGTGAGAGTTTTCATATCCCACGACAACTTGCCACCCCTTTCCTGCTAAGTCTGATCCTCTGCTAAAAGCCACCGTACTCAGACCAGCTCATGCAGCTCAGTAACAAGCACCTGCACACCCTGCCTCCACTTCTGCCTCTTGCTCCTCATCCGGGTTCTCAGGATGCTCCTGGAATTCACTGAAGGTAAAGACATTCCCACTGCTCCCCCACAGCTGCTTTGAGCCACAGATATTGTAGACAGTGTTTCTGAAATAAGAAGAGATCAAGACAGCCCTGTGAACAGGAGAATCAATATCACCACAGTCAGTGCATATTCAAATTATTCAGTGCCTTACTTCTCCTCATATCCCACCTCTCCTCACAAAACCTACCTCTTTCATGGGCTAGGAAAAGGAACTGTTCATGGCATTGGTGAATCTGAGGGGAGTGAGGTTATAACTGGCATAAACCAAAAAGGTGCCACAAAATCAGTACCAGCACAGCAACATAAATCAGCTGGAGATCTTTCCCCAGGTGATTGCGCCGTATACATAAACACGCCAGGCTGCACAGAGTGATCAAAGGTAACAGTAGAGCAACCACATCCCTCTCTTGCTCCCTCCCTCTCCTCCTCCTTTCCTCTCTCCCTTTTTCCTTCTCTTCTTCTCCCCATTCCTTTCTTTAGCACACTGCCACGAAAAGCTACAGTACAGCCAAAACTGCCACAATGATCACATCTGAAGCATTCACAGGTCCTGTGCTCTGAACCACATTTAACAACCTTGCCACAACAGACTCAATAGACTTCAATGCAGTAAAGAGATTCAGGAACAAACTGCAATCAGACCCAGAAACTGTTACAGCTGCTGTGACCAGCTGTTGCCAGAAGCACTAAGAGATGACTTTACAGCATCATGCAAAACCACAAATCCATGAGTATTTTCTGTAAAACCTACACAAAAAGGTGTGAGAGTTGCTTATTTCTACACAGATACTTTCCCTTCACCTCCTGCATTGTCCATCAACTGAAACAAAACCAGACCCTTGTTTTGAGGTCTACACAAGACACAGTGTCAGCTACTTCCTAACTGTAAATGAGGTTGGCACTTAAATACTGTTCTGCTTTTGCCTTGCTACTGTAAGGCTCCACCACAGAAAAGCAGACACTTCTGACTTCAGCGAACATATTGCCATGTAAGATCAGCAGGCCTTCATTCCCTGTAGTTTGCAGTTGGTACCCATCCAATAAAACTTTCCTTTCAAGGTTCTTTGAAAATACTGGACAGTGTTAATGGGCATCTATCACCAGCCTACAGAGTACAGGCACAAGCTGCCTAGTGTCCCTCAAAAGTGATGTGCACATGCATCACAGCAGGCACATGAACCTCTACTTACGCCGAAGAAAGCTTAACCAAGCCCTATAGCTGCCACTAGGATCCTTGCTGAGAGAGCTAGAGGACAGGAAAGGCATTGGAACAGGGTGATGGGAAAAGCCCTCTAGCAAGAATTTTTCTTTCACCTGAAATATCCTTCAAAAAAGCTACTTCATGGCTCTTCTACTTAGGCAAGACTCCCATTTCACACAACACGACAGATAAGGAAGGCACAAAGTGGCAGGCTAGTATGTCAACCACCTGCAGCTCTCCTCACACTTACTGTATCTCTGTCCAAGGGTGCTTAAGGGAAATGTTCTGCAAAGCAGTAGATGTTTGGGGTGCAGGCAAAGATGCTGCCTTTAAACCCACTCCTTCTGTCGGTGTTTTCACCAGAGGCAGAAAGTCTTCACTATCAACACCACCTACATAAAAACAAACCAGGACACAAAAACAAGTGAGGAAGACAGACTTTGGCTCCTTGAGGTAGCTTGAGAGTCACAACATTTTACTACAGGTCTACATTCCCCGTTCAACGGGCCAGGTGGAAAAAGAACAGCATAGCATGTTTCTGTAGTTTTAGGTCAAATTACAGAAGGTTCCATGTACCGTCATCTATTTAAGGATAATGAAGTCACTTCAACCATTTGTATATGAGAATGACAAACCCTAAGCAATCAGAGTTTAGCCACATAAAGGAATAAGGAAGTAAGATGTTGCTGCTCTTCTCCACCCCAGTTTTTGGTGTTTTTAATGTGCAGATAACACTCCACAAACACAATTCGTTACCAAATTATCACCTGCTATAGCAAAATGCCAAGTTACCCAGAATCTTCTAGAGCAGCCATTTACTACAGAGGGGGGGTTATTTGTTTCAAACAAAATGTGTATCTAGTCATAACTAAGCAGGTGCACACCCTGCTTGTGCCCTCCTCTGATCCACTGGACTGTGTACTCCCACTGCCAGGAATGCACATCTTATCTGACCACCACTAAAAAAACTTGCTTGCTGTAAATTTCCTCACAAGAGGAAGGGGATATCCCAAATGTGCACATTTCACGTGCATGAGGAAAATCAAGAGGAAATTAATGACTGTAAGATACCTGAGCATCTCCAGCCACATGCTGTGGATTAGGAAACAGCCCATTCACATAAGTCCAGAAGTTCCAAACATTGACCAAGCATTGATAGCTGGCACCTGCATTTAAAAACCTGGCCAAAACCTCTGCCCACATATAGATGAGGAGCACCATTCATCACAGGGGAGGCTGAAAGCAGAAGAAAGGCTAACATATGCAACACCTACTTGTTCTGCCAGCCAGAGGTTCATTGACAAGCTGTGAGCTGCCCACAGGAAATCTGCTTTGAGCATTGCAAAATTCCCAACGTCTCATTTGTAGCTGCTGCAGCCAGTACATCATTGCCTGATTGCTGATTGCCTGAATTAACACAAAACAGGAAAGTGAGGGAAGTAACCTCATCAGCACGAGATGTATCCCAAAGGGCTAACCACCACTTCAATGCACAAGTCAACAGAAATAAAGGCCAGCTGTGTCAAGCCTATGCATTATCCTCTGGTCCTAACACTGACCTGGGAGGACAGAGAAAATCTTCAGCACAGCCTTACTATCAGAACCTCAGTGGGCCGCTGATAACATGTTAACTGGTTTCTGGTTCTTTATGCTCCAAGGCTAAGCAGAAATGTCACAACTATTTCAGCCAGGAATCACCCACAGAGCTCCTTAAGAGTAATTTTCACAGAGATAACAACCTAGCAAAAGCTCCTGCTGGGCTACCATTTCAGACAGAGGAGCTCATTTCTGTTCAGCAAATTATATGTGGACTCTATGACTCCTTAACAATTTTAACTCAGCACCTGGTTCAGTTTTTACTCCTATTTTGTTAAACACCAGCCATCTCACAGGTAATGGAGTCCTAGTCTTGCCAAAATAAAGCAGGTAATTTAGGTCCAAATAACAGCACTTCAGGCTGGGAGGACTGAAGTGAAACTCAACCCATCTGAGCAGAGATGTGTCTGTCCTGACTGGGAATGTTTCATAATAGCCCCACAAGAAGATGCTGCCCCTTACCTTCAAAGTAAAAACTCTGCTTGGTGTTCTGATCTCAAAAACCCCTTCCCCACTTTCCACCTTGCAGTCAAAACTGGCGCTGGAGAGATCAACAGATCCCAAAGGGTTGATGTCCTGTGCAGTTCTGTAGTATAATAAATTACACTTGTTTTCATCATAAAAGAACCAGCGAGACTTCCAGGTCTTGATTGGCCCCTTGATGCCCAGCTTATTTAAATAGCCACAGAGTTTTTTTCTGGATGCATCTCTGCTGGGTTTCAGCTGTACATTTTCCAGCTCTCCAGAAGAGGAAAGCACATCTCTCTCTTTTGCTGAGGCTCCATTGCTGCTGTTACTGTCCGGATTTGACTCCACTAAATTGCCTGGAGTGGTAAGGGAACAAGCTCCACTTTTCAGTCCTTTTTTCATCTCTTTCAGGAAATAGAATTGTACTGAAACATGAAATTCTCTAAGTAAATAGGTAACAGGAGATACCGAACTACTCAGCTCCACATAATTGTTACAGAACCTGCAGCAAATGAAAAAGGAAGAATAATCTCAGGTATGGCTTACAACAAGAGACACTCACTAGCTTTCAAACTGCCCAACCAAGGTGTCAGACTTCTACTTTTGGTCACTGCTGCCTGCCTTCCTTAGCTCAGATGATCTCTATGAACCTCTTTTCTCCCTTTTTCATTCCTACATTATCCTGGACTACCAGCCAAGAAACAGTACCACAATTCCTTGACTGAAAAATAAGTACAGTCCATGGGCATACCAAATTAATAGCAATAAGAGCATTTGAAGCCACAAACGATGTTAACAGTTGCAGGAAACAACACTGCAAGAAAACAAGCTCTGGCAGGGCAAATACTCGGATCAGGAGATTTCAGGTAATTGCATCCTGGCATTTCCAGTAAATGTTCAGCTAGTATTTTAAACCACTGTGTCTGGAAAAGAATCCAGCCTTATGCTGCATCCCTATAAATCCTTTCTGTCAGTTGAGAATTGTTAAAAAGCACACATATCATGTGTTCAGTCTCCATCCAATAGACCTCATTTGACAGATTGTGCACCAGAGAAAGTAATTCTGTGATGCTTGCAAAAGAGACTTGGTTGCTTAGTGGCCAACGTAACCTGCTGGGTTCCAAAGAGAAATGCAGAGTGCATGAGAAAAACAAAAACAAGAAGGGATCTGTGGAGAACTTTAGTCCGTCTTCCCTCTGTTGAGAGGGGAACATCTTCAAAGCTGTAGACAACTACTCAGGTCTACATTCTGATGACTTTTGATTATATGCAGGATGGCAACTCTCCTACATTTCTGGGTATTTTTCAAGTGCTTAAAAGCACACGGCAGGTGTCATTTTTTGGTCAGAGCTGCAGACACCCATGGTCTTTGTATAAAGAAAGCACATTATACAACACTCCAACACCTATAAATAACCTCTTGCATTGTTTTTCTTCAGTAAAAACATGGTTTAAAGATCAATAAAAAGACTTCAGTTCAGAAAGTAACATACCTGAAGCAAATATGTATACAAATGGATTGTTGCAGTGTTAAGTTAGTGACAATCCAACCGCAGAAACAAAACTATTGGACATCACAGCCAGCTGTGTGACACCAGGTGAATGGAGATTAACACAGCGGAGCACACAGAGAGGTTGCCCGAGCTCATGGTTTTCTGCACATCCTCGTGACTAAAAGGCGGCTTACCCATCTCAGCGCTGGCTAAGCCTCACCATGTTTATTGCTGCCCCCTCCCGTTCCCACATTAGCTTTTTAGACAACTGCTGACAATGCCTACACTTTTTGGAAAGCTACCGAGCATCTTTTAGTTTATTCCCCTGACATCATGGATCTTCCTGCTGAATTCACAGACCTAACAGACCCTGTGGCTTTATGGCAGTACTAGCATAAGGACCTCCTGCACCATCTGAAGACTCCACCTTCTACCTCTTGCCAGCATGGTGTCCATGGGTCCACACCATGAACAGGATCTAATAAGCATTTTGGATTCAGGCACCAGGTTGAGTCATGTTACAAGGTGCAGAGAGAACCTTACTGCTCTCTACAACTACCTGAAAGGAGGTTTTAGTGAGATGGGCAACAGCCTCTTCTCCCCAGTAACAAGCAATAGGACAAGAGGTAACAGCTTCAAGCTGCACCAGGAGAGGTTTAGACTGGATATTAGGATCAGTTTCTTCACAGAGGGAGCACTGAAACAGGCTGCCCAAGGAAGTGTTTAAGTCACTGTCAATGGAAGGGTTCAAACCCCGTGAAGGTGAGGCGCTCTGTGATATGGTTTAGTGGTGGTCTTGGTCGTGCTGGGGTAATGGCTGGATCTTAAATGTAGGTTGATGATCTTAGAGCTCTTTTTCAACCTAGCTGATTCTATTCTGTGTCAGATCTGCACTGCAAATAACTAGAGAAGATCTTACCTTCTTAACAGCAGAGATGCCCTGAAGTCACTCACCATCTGTTGGTGTCCTGCTGCAGGTACCACGGAGCAGCCTCCAAACCAAACACAACGGCAGCAGAAGAGGGTCTTCCTCAAGTTCCCTTCCGTCCAGCCGCCGCCTGGGAGCCGTCTGGAAGAGAGACGTTGCTGTGCGCTCCGACACTGACTCAACGACGAAAAGACAAACCCTGCACAGCCCTTTCTGCATCTGCTAGTGCGAGCCGCACAAGGCAGGCCCCCTCACCCCGTGTCTGCCTCAGCGCCGCAGAAGCACCTCCCAGCCCAGCTGCACCAAGCCGGGGCACAGGCGAAGGCTGCCGGAGCCTGGCACCGCGCTGCGCCGCCGGCGACCGGGCCCTGGCACCGCGCTGCGCCACCCCGCCTCGCTGCGCCGGGCGGGGGCGAGCACCCTGGCTGCCGCGGGGTGGTGCAGGGGGCCCGCAGCCGCGGCCCGGCTACCTGCTGCGTCCCTTCCTGGCGGGGCGGGGCGGGGCGGGGCGGCACGACAGGGGAGAGGAGCCAGGGGGTGTGAGGCGGGGGACGGCCGGTGCGGCCGCGGAAACAGGAAAAAGGACATTGCAGACGGGTACCGGGGAGAAAATGATTCATCGGCGTGGTGCGGCGCGCTGAAAGCAAGCCAGAGCGGGGCAGTGGGGAGCGGGAGGTTCCGTCCGCTGGGCGGGATGTGTCCCATGCCTGCAAAACCGCTGGGGCAGTGAGTGCAGACCCTGCTGCTCCCCAGACACACAGTGCGAGAGCCAAGGTTGTGCGGCTGCGGCTAATCGGATAAGGCAAACGAATTTCACATGCAGAGGTAGTTGGTCCCAGGCGGTTGAAGGCTGTATGATCAAGCAGGGCCAAAGGGTGTAGACTGACCCCTGGAAAAAAACTCCAAAAGAAGTACAGAAAGGGAATAGCGGTGTCAAGGGCTTCCCTAATACAGTGGTGCAGATCCACTGACAGGATGGACGCACAGCACAGCCAGGCTCGCACGCTGTCAGGCAGCTGCGTCTCCTCCTGCAAAGCCTTGCTGGGCTTTGTGGAAATTGGGCTGGACTGGGAAGGCACTTCCTTCACCCTGTCCCCGGGATAAAGAGTCTGTACGGCTATGACTTTCTCTGCATGCAGTGATAGCTGAGCCATGATGATAATGATGTGACTCACTTCCGTTGCTCCCAAGAAACCCCTGAGTTAGCCAAATTTACCAAGTTATATCACCGACTTTAGCCAAGTTTAGTGCCTCAGCAGCAAGAACCAAGCGTCCAGGTGTCCAGTGGCTTATCCTTCCACTGGCTTACAGTCCCAAACCATAGGACACATGGAAATGACCACAGCATACAAACTCATTTTCTCAGTTAAGCTGATTTCACCCAAATTTGGGTTATACAGCAGTTGGCCATGAGACTAGATCAGCTGTGTGAAGTCCTTCTCCCCTCTGAAGCCTGAGCTGCCTTGTCCCCCTTGGCTACAGCTGTGTGGACCAAATGTGACTCAGAGTGTGGTAGTAGGGCAGCACTAGCCCATGTATAGGCTGCTCCGGACACACTTTAAAAGGCTCACCTGAAGTTCCTAAAATTGGTTAGTGACAGCGGAATAGACTCCACAACTTCGTTGAAGTTGTAAAGTAGGTATGCTTTATTCAGCTGAAGACGCACGGGGGATTGGTCCTCCAAAAGGCATGCGTACCTCAGTGCTGTTTTCCTTTTACATTTATCCTGTACAGGCATACATATGTATTAGGTTGCACAATACGCCTATACATATTCATATTCTATCCCTGCTTTGTATTATAATGAGCGAAAGGGCTCTCCACGCATGCGCAGTGCCTCCTGGTGGTCTTGGGCAGGGATCTTCAGATGAAGTAGTCTTCCTCTTGTGGGTAGGGGTCTTCAAGATGAAGTAAATGAGTCTTCCTCAGGCTTGAACTTTTTACCTCTGGTCCTCACGCGTGCTCGTTAGGAGCTGGATGGGTCTGGTCTATGTCCAACTGGTTTAATGAGCTATTCTCTTCATTAGGAAGTTCTGTCTTGGTACTGCCTGATAGGGCATCTGCTGAGCTTGTCAAACAAGCTGTAACTTAGGCAGTATCCCCTTGTACAACCCCCCCTGTTCTCCTCATTAGGAGGTTCTGTCCTGGTACTGCCTGATAAGGCATCTGCTAAGCTTGTCAAACAAGCTATAACTTAAGCAGTACCCCCTTGTACAACCCCCCTGTACATTTTGTCTAACCCCCTTGTACAACCCCCCTGTACACAATAGGCCACATCAGTTTCAGTTAGTACCAGTATGCCTGCAAAAGAGCTGTCCTGCTTCCAGAGCCGCCTTACACCCTGGCACCAGCAGAGACATAGGCAACTACACAAGGGAGCTGAGCCGGTGGAAAACCCAAGTGGCGCTTTTGTAGCCAAAAATCACGGCTTCCAGACCCAGCACACACTACATGGCTCACGAAAGGAAAAGTGGATGCCAGATCATAAGCAAAGGCACCCCAGGAGGAGCCACGAAGCCACCCCAGACCCGCCTCCTGCGCGGGGATTCCTCTCCACACGGGTGGTGGGTGCCGCCGCAGGGTAAACGAGGTGACCAGGGAGGGGCTCAGCGACAGGCCCAAGACACCGCCATTGCGCGGCGGCTTCCGGGTGTCGGCCGCACCGGGAAGGTCATGGCCACCCCAGGAGCTCTTGGGTACGAAGCGGGACATGGCGGGGAGGGGCGGTGCTCCGGTAAGGCACAGAGCTCAGCTGCGCATGCGCTCATCTCCACGGGTGCCCCGCCTCTCCGCCAGCCGCGCAGAAGATGGTGGCGGTGTGAGGCGGTCAGCGCTGTCCCGAGTGCGCCCCGCCATGAGGAACTTGCGGCTGCTGCGGAATGGCGGTTGCCGTTACACCACTACCTCGGGCACCCCGCAGTGCTTCTGCCTCGGCGCCGAGGCCGGCACGCTCCTGGTGGGCTCCCAGCACGGCCTGCTAGAGCTGGGGTCCGCCCGGGACGAGGTGAGAGGGTTTCCTTGCCATTTTTTGTATGCTGTCTGTGAAGTCTGAATGAGCCCTTGGCACACGCCAAGCAGCTGCCCGTGAGCATTTTCATGTTGACACGGGGTGTAGAAGTATTAAAAGGGGAGGATGAGAGTTAATTAGCAAAGCATTGGAAGTTGTAGTATTGCCACACGTTGTTTGCCGTTATGTGAGCTTTCTTGTTGTCTTCTAACTCTTATAAGAGGGCCTTCATAGTTTCCTGTAGGTAAGTGAAGATAAGTACATGCACACTGCATGTTTCTTGCTATCATCTGCATACTTATGTGGTGTAAGACTGTGTAATTGCAGTAGTATGAGATGTACCTGTGGATGTTATTCTGTCACTTTTGCCAAAATCATGGGGAGATTATGTGTATTTAATAAGTCATTGGTTTCTCTACTTCAAGGTGACAAGAGAAGTTGACTTAACTGTGGAGGGTTTCATGCCTGAGGATGGAAGTGGCAGCATCGTGGGCATTGAAGATCTTCCAGAGCAGGAATGTGTGTGTGTTGCTACAGCAGCTGGAGATATCCTACTGTGCAATCTCAACACGAAGCAGGTAAAATGACAGGAAGGACACAGCAATACTGAGGGATTTCAAAGGAAAAGATGACACTTCTAATTTCTTCAGAGGGCAGTTGTATGTTTACTTCATGTTGAGATGTGGCTATTCTTTTTCTGGGCAGATGAGCTGATGTTTGTGGGAGCCTTGAGCAGAAGTAAAGTCAGAATATAGATTTCATCACAGAAGCAGAATTGTAGGAGTGCCTTGCTTGTTAACAGCTATAGTCCTTTATGTTTGCTCAGGGGGCTCTTGGCAGTCTTAGAGAAGTAGGATATTGCTGAGACTAGGTACAGTGTAAAGTAATTAATTCATAACTTGGTGTTATTTACCTTTTTATTATTGTCAGTCAATGCAGAACATCGTGCTGACATGACTTAAGAGAGGAGAAAGTGTTACGCATTGTGATTTGAAACCCTAGAAAATACTAAAGGGAAACCAGAATATCTTAGCTGAGTAAATACGGCAGGAACTGAGATACCTGCTTTCTGTTCCTTCCTTGGTGTTAGATTTGTATGATCTTCAGCAAGACAAATACCACAGCAGCAGCCTCTGGAATCTGTATCAGTTCCTGCAGTACCTGCTCAGCTGTCTGTTTGGGTTAGCTGTCAGATTGTGGTTATTTGCAGCTCCCCTCTTTTGTTTTTTTGTTTGGGTTTGATTTGCAGATACCACTTAAGTTCACAGTTGTAGCTGAAAAATGTGTCTCATATTGCAGCTTAAAACATGTTTTCAGGTAATAGAGATGAACAAAAGATGTGATACCCAAGACTTCTTGCGCTGATAGATGGATCAGAGGTTTAATTTCATATCTTTTATTTCACAGCTTTTTGGTTCACTTTCTCAGTTTTAAAGTTTGTTCTTTTGGTTGCAGTCTGGGCACAGAGAAAGAAGTCCTGAAGGTATTCTGGTTGTTCAGAAACTTTTTGCATGTGGGTATGGTTACTCTGCCCACCAGTGCCCAATCCCACTTTTTTTACCTTAAAAGATTGTGACACCCAAGCTTAATTCCTTGAATGGCCTCCTCTTGCTGTTTATCACAATTGATCTGTTCCATGCCTTTTGCAAATTAGGGTAACAGTGCATAGCAGACGTTCCCTGCCTACTGCTATTGCTTATGTACTTGTGATGGCCCAGTAAAACTGGCCCAGTTTTCATAAACTTTGGAGTTAGTGCAGCTATGTACAGTTGCCAAATTCAGCCTGCACAAGCTGATCAGAGTTTTAATGGATACAGTGCCTATCAACTGCATGTTGAAATTCTCAAGGTAAGAACCATTATGGCTGTGTTTTGTGACTTCAGTATGTTTACCAACGTAACTACAGACCTGATCAGGCAATATTAATATTAACTAATCAGGCTGACATAAGACTGAGAGCTGCAGAATAAAGAGCATATTAAAACTATGTATGGTAGAAAATGCTAATCTGTAGGTTATGTGGGCTGTCATACCTAAACATTCTGGAACTATCTTTGGTTTGAAATGTTTATTTTGTTTCATTCAATGCAAAGAGCAAAGTAAGGCTTGTTACTTTCCTAAGTAGGAAAGGATTTCAACGCTCTTGGTGACTGGGGTGGTGCTGGGCTGGTGTTTCTGCACTTCTATGATCTTACTTTGGTCTTGCAGGTGGAATGTGTTGGAACTGTGGACAGTGGCCTGAGTACCATGAGCTGGAGCCCTGACCAGGAGCTTGTTTTGTTAGTAACAGGTATGATCAACAGTCTGTAAGGTTTCTGCCAGTGAAACTCACTGTGGCCAAAATCACAGAATTACAGTTAAGTTTACGCTAGAAGAAGCAAA